TGTATCTCCGCCTTCTCGTTTATGCATGGCCTCCTCAAACTAATTTTTCTGACCATTCTAAGAAGGGGCGAGTGATGGTTCCGTATGGGCACTTTTTTACTCAGGGTGGCGCTATCGGACTATCTGTGATGGGTTTGGAACACTATACTTTCGAATCAGCGCACAAAATTTACTTTTTTCATGTCCAATCTGAATTAGGGACTTCAGTCCCCACTTTTTTTGCGGGACAAGTCCCTCTACGTCCCGTTCCGAAGTTTTACAAAAATTTCTTATGTACTTGATTTCCGCACATCCACTTGCTCAGATGTTTCATTACCACTACAGTTCAAATTTTTTTTTATCTTTAAATCTCAAATGATTAGAGAGAAACTGAACGACGTGAACTGTTGATGTGCACGTTCTTCTAAGTAATTGGTTCCAGGCAATTATGTCTACATCTACCCATATGTGTACACATTTGCAAATACAACACATACCGGTTCTGTGTGGATAGTTCTTACATTGACCATAGATCGATATTTGGCCCTATGCCAACCGCTCAAGCATCGTGCCATAGGGAAGAAGAGGTAGGCGATTTCTAGGCTAGTACCATAGAGTATTGTTGCAATATGACGATTATGTTTTAGCCGTGTGAAGCGTTTAATGGTGATCGTATCACTGTTGGCTGTACTCTTCTCATCTCCACGATTCTTTGAAGTGCACGTTGTACAGTTTTGTAATGAATACAATGAATGTGTTGCTGTAATCGATCGGACAGCACTTTTCGAGGTAAGCATCGCTGTCTATCGTATTGTTGTCATATAGGAATCTTATCAGTTCATGCACTTAGAACTCTGTTTCATATTTTCTAAGGCTGCGTTCATACTTTGCGGCTGCGTCCACCAGCGTCAACTAGTGCTTCGAGCATCCGGCAGCGTTAGCGACTGGGAAAGTAACGACATCGATGTCTACCAGCGTGCACCAGCGTCTCCCAGCGTGAAGAGACGAAATCGATCTAGCGTCGGGTACCAGCGTGCAGCAAGCCAGGCGTCGCCGCGTTCTACCGGCGTCTCGTGAGTATCGATCTAGCGTCTGCCAGCGTCCGAGAGAGGAAAATATGGCGCGATAGGGGGAGGAAGTAGCAGACAGCTCGTACCCTCCTATCGCGCCATCAGGCCATACTCTCTGCCAGCGGTCTGCTACTCTCCTACCTCCACATACTCCACCAGCTGTCTGTTACCCTCCTAACCCACCATGCTGGCGCTCGTCCGGCAAAGCTGGCCCACGCCGTGTAAGGACGCTTAGATTCGTACCGGTGTTACTTCCCGAACCCTCGAGAAGCTGGTGGACGCTGGCGAACGCTGGGAGACACTAGTGCACACTGGTAGGCGCTGGCACGCTAGATCAATATCCATACCTTCCCTGTCGCTGACGCTGCTGGGCGCTTCGAAACGCTAGTGGACGCTGCCACAAGGTATGAACGCAGCAATGGGATGGAGGAAATAGTGGTCGTACAACCACGAGGGGCGCGCCTGTAGTTTGCACGAGGCCACGGGCGGCGCGAGAGTAATTGCAGCCAAGTTCGTGACCTTAGGATGTAACTAATTGATGCCAGACGCCGTCGTGCGATTAGACTAGCTTAACCGCAGATCCATGCCAAGCCAAATAGACATTATGGGGTATACGTGGTGCAATTCTACGCCTCTTTTCCGCATACGTCGGCCGTTGTTCCGCCTGATAAAGGAGTTGTGGAGGATTGTGGGGAGTATATTGGGAAAGCCTTAAAAGAGCGGACAGTCGGTGGCAAGGTCTAAGCCTTCACGGTCTTCCGTTTTCGGAGTTCACAATTTCGGATCTGCTTCGGCCTAGGCTAACCAAATTTTAAGCGGTATCAGATTCGTTTGAGAGGATAAGAACTGCAGGCCTGACAACTCAATGAACAGGCCGCATCGCATTTAATTTGCTCAGCCAGTGGTCTTTAATCGTCATGGTTGACGAACATAAAGTGAGCGGCGGTGCTGACGGTGGTTGACTGATGACGATATGCATGTCTGAACTGCTTCGTTCGGGTGATTTATTTAGAGAGCGCATTCATGGTTATGGTTTTTGTGCTAGCAGAGAGGGCAATAAAATCTTTGATGATTGCAGAATGGATTCGGCATTTAAGCACTTTAATTTTTAAGAAACTTCTCCATTCTTTTGCGTTCGACGGATGCGTCCAATAAGAATATCGCTTGAAGGCAGTTGGCACGATGGTTTCCTACTTAGCCTAAAATGCTAGTAGGGCGCTGTATAGTGGGGAAATGGCGAAAGAACGGAGTGAAACGGTCAAAATCCTGCGAAGAAAAGCCTCCGTTCTCAGTGACTTGTAAATCGATTCGAACGAATTAGGCATTCTCTGCCAATCACCGTCACCAAAGAGGCCTGCCATATTTGTTACTCCCAATACAGCAGCTTCCAGTATCACCGGCGCCTACTACAGAGTCCCTTGCGCTTCATAATTTGCCTTAGCAAGATGAATGGGTACGCACCGCGCAATGGAATGGTCCGTCCATTTGTGGGTGCGCAGGGCGTGGCGGGGCGTTGCGACGTTGAAGTTGTGGCTGATTTAGGGCCCTCAGTAAGGCACCTTCTCAGCGGAAAACCGCTATGCAGTCTTGCCCAGCGTCGCCGGAATTCTATTCCTGCCAGGAGTATTGAATCGCTAAGTCGACGTTGGGGTTTATCGTTTGCCAACTGCTTCAGCTGAATGTCCGTCAGTGTAGATGTGCGTTAGAGCTTGCGCTGAAGTAAAAGAGCTGCAGAAGTCTAATCTCGAAATTGGACTGTGTGTGCAAGCTGGTGTCCCTGTGACGCATACAGTTCGGATATGAAATCTGTTCAATCAGGTCATGACTATCTGAAGAGAATATGTACACTCGCCTCCGAAGACGGTTGGTTCGTGCAAGGTAAATTGGTCTGCAGCTCCAGTTGGCGTTGCCACTTCCCCCGCTCAAAAGTGCACGGGAAGCGGCTGAAGAGTACATAGTGAGATCTGCTTGCCGTCCACCGACTTCGCGCACGCTAGCGCACAGCCGGTCACAACCAAGGGGAACTTCTGGAGCGCCTCTTATACAATCATTCTAGCATCAAGGTCACCGAACGAGTACAAGGTGAAATGCGTACGCGAATCGGGGCGAGTGCAGTCAGCTTACAAGTTACCAAGCCTTACGATGACCCCACGACCATTCAAGCGACAATGGATCTTCCATCTCATGCTACTCTTCCGACAGAATCGTTTTTCACTGGTTGGCGAGTCCGAAGGGGAACGTGCTCTAGCATCTATACCTCATAAGGCTGCGTTTATACTTTGCGGCAGCGTAGCGTAGCGCTTCCAGCGTACGCCAGCGGCAGTGCCGGGGAGAGGATGCATATCGATCTAGCGTTCCCAGCGTCACCAGCGTAACGCTAGCGTTACGCCTAGCGTTTCGCCAGCGTTTCACCAGCGTTTTGCTGGCGTTTGCAGGTGTGGCAGGGTAGTTTAGAGGACTATGGGGCCGTTATTTAAAGAGACGCGCAATCGATGTAGAGACTATGTGGCCGTCAGAGACGCGCAATCGATGTGTATTGTAGAGACTATGTGGCCGTGAGAGACGCGCAATCGATGTGTATAGTAGAGACTGAGGGCGAGTGAGAGACGAATCGATGTGTTTTTGTACCCTCCAGCTCTCCCAGATCTCTACTCCCCTGCCGCTGCAAACGCTAGCAAAACGCTGGTGAAACGCTGGAGAAACGCTGGCCGCTACGCTACGCTGCCGCAAAGTATAAACGCAGCCTAACTTTCCGTCGCGAAACTGGTGCGTTGTTGCCCATCGCGGGCCGCGTTACATACACTCCTCATCATTACGGACTGTCGGGGCGTATCGGCCAGAAGGAGTGCGCACACTGTTTGAAGCCGTTCTCAGCCTTTTCTTGAAGCGCGTATGCGACAAAAAGTGGTAGAAAACGAGTAATACGAAGGATATAATGCTGTTATGTCATTTGATCGCTTCAACAACTGGTGCAGAAAGACTTTGGAACCGCGGAAAACGCAGCCGCACTGACCCGCCCCGACAGTCCGTAATGATGAGGAGTATAACCACGCAGTCCGCTACGGTTTTCATAGCTCATCGGTATATTTTCATAGGTCGTCGCGGATTGGGTAAGGGCCTCTTGAGGCAATCCGACATTTCTTCGGTAAATCGATATAAGCCGGCCGGCCAGAAAAGATTCGTTCAATTGGCGAGCGGCGAAAAATATCAGCCCTGGTGGAGGCTTACTAGGGACATCAAAGGAGTGGCGTTAATTGGTATTAAATCAAGGCATTTCTAGGCTTTCATGTAGACTCTAAAGTACAATAATTTGCCTTCATTAAGGCGGCTTTGCTGACTGTTGATGAAACCGCAAGCGGTCAAAAACAATGTCTTGTGCTACTTGGTACTTCCATGGTGCAGTGTGTAATATTGTAGCCAAATTTGCTAGTGCTTATTGGTCTACTATATGCCAAGCAGGAAGGTGTAGAGACGGAGGAAAATGCTCTGAATTAGGCCCTAATTTTTCGGAGTTGATTCCGACCACAGGCAAAGAAACTGTGCAGAGTGGTCCAGAGTGGGGGATGAACGACAATAATCAAGATAGGAGAGGTGTGAGAAGAGGCATCAGACGCACGCATCTAGTTCCAAAAGCCTTCAGCGCCTTTGTTCCGCAGCTTAGCCGTGAAGTAGGCGCATACTCAGCGCTTACAAACCAAATCAGGGAACTGCACACTTACCTGCAAGGGCGTTCCTTTCCATGTGCAAGATCGTACGGCTGATCGTGCAGCAGCCCGTTTGGAGTACGGGGCCGGCACCCTGGTATCACTAACCTCCAGCCCCGTTCCCGTGCACCTTCAAGAGGACAAAGTGATGCGCTACTGTGCTGCGGACCCATTTGCCTCATGCTGGCAAAGACTAGGGCCCACGGACATGAGTGTACAATTTTGCTCTAATTGTGGAGGCGATTGCGCCACACAGTCGTGAATTTAAACTTCAAGGAAACTCATCAGCACGATATGCTCACACGTGCCACTTAAATTCTGATGTCATCTCACTTCATTAGAGGACTACTTAAACAGTTGAAACATCGTCGGATGTTTTTCGTTGAACAGTTTCGTCTGAGATGTCTGTTCTTCCAACTTGTGCAAGACGCACATGATTACAACTGCATCGAAGGGCATCTACTGCAATCCACGTCATACCCATCTTCCGGATACGAGTGTATATACCGCCTGACGATATTATATTACGTTCATACTTTGCGGCAGCCTCCACTAGCGACCAACAGCGTCCACCGGCGTTCCGAGCGTCTTGCAGCGTCAGCGTCTACGAAAGGGTAAATATCGATCTAGCGTCCACCAGCGACTAGCAGCGTCTCGTGGAAAGGAAAGTATAGGTATCGAGCGAGCGTCTGCCAGCCTTTACCAGCGACCAGCAGCATACTGTCGGTAGAGAGCATGGGGAAAAGGGTGCCAGCTGTCTGCTATCTTCCTATGGCGTCATACTGCCTACCAGCACTTTGCTGGTCGCTGGTGACGCTCGCAGACGCTGGATAGGTGTATATATCATTCCTGGTTTGTCTTCTAGTAATCTCGCCAAGTTCTCCTTTTCTTGTAGAGCCTCGCATGTGAGCTCGAATGTTTAGTTTTTCTGCCAAACGAGGTTATTAGATAGAACCTTTTTATTGGCCCGACGAGAAGGTCGAAACGTCGGGCCAATAAAAAGGTTCTATCTATAACCTGCGTTTGGCAAAAACTAAACATTCCTGGTTTG